CGAAAGATATTATTTAAACGGGGAATAATGAAAGTGGGGGGTTTAAAAATAATTATGAAATTCTTGTTGAAAATAAAAAAAAAAAAAAAAAAAAAGAAAAAAAAATAGAAAGAAAAGAAAAAAAAGAAACTTAAGGGTACTGCCATGATAAAAAAAACCCAATAGAATACTACGAAAGGACAAAGATTGAAAAGTGCATAGGTAGTGCATTTCTTACTTCTCTTTTATCGCATCCTGGAAAAATGGAAACACAAAAAAGGAACAAATAGAAAAATCTCAAAAATGTAATCGTGGTAACAAAAAAAGAAAAAAAAAAAAAAGATAATAGAAACTGAAAAATATTAGAATTCGTTGAAGGAACAAAGATGGGTAGAGTGTAAGGTAGCTTGGTAACTTTCAGGAGCCATGTTTACAGAAGAGTCTATTAAACCTTAGAGAAAAGGGAGGAACGAGATGAGAGAAAGGGTGAGATCTATATATATACACGGATGCACAAGCCGCATGAACTCACTCGTTCGCTCACTCACTTACTCACTAACTCACTCACTCACGCAAAAACACACACACACGTAGCAAACAGCAACAGCAGCAGAAGCAGCAAACACTTGGAATACGTTTAAACGATAATCATATACGTACAGGCTTTTACGATTTCAGCTAATCAGACGACCGATGATCCAGCCAGTGACAACAACAACAACAACAGCAGCAGCAGCAACAACAACAATGGCAAACTCGTTTGTCTTGATACACCGTCATTTGTAAAAGCAATTCATATATAGGCGCGTTTAAACTTGCTGTGTGGAGCAATGCGCGTCACCTGACGCCGTTGCTCGGCCGACTTCTTCTCCCTCTTCCTTCCCCTACCCCTTTCCCACTCTCTTCCTCCTTTCTACCTACTCCTACTTCCCCTCCTCTTCTTTTTCTTTTTTCTTTTTTCTTCTTCTTCTTCTTCTTTCTTTATTATCGTTTCACCGTTACTTTTCACGCTTTTCCTTTTCACCGTTTTCCCTTCTTCCGTGAAGCCTCAGGACAGCCTAGAGAAACGGATCGAACTAACACAATTCTCCCAAGTCTAACTGCTGCAACCCAGTGCAAGCCAGGACGCGTGTTTACACAGCACCGTTTGCATCCTTCCACTACTCTTCCGCTTAGTATACTATCTATCTCTTTCTCTTTCTTTCTTTCGGTTTCTGTCTTTTCTCTTATCCCTCTTTCACGTCTACGGCTTCGGCACCCCACCCACTCGTGCTTTCTCTCTATCTTTTTTCTTCTTCTTCTTCTTTTTGTTTTCTTCTTTTTCCTTCTTAACTTCGATTCACTCTTATAAAGAAGGAAAAGAAAGCTCTTATATTCTTTAGGATGTCGCGACACACTTATTTATCTTTTTCTTTCTTTCTCTCTTTCTCTCTCTCTCTCTTTCTATCGTGCTACTACCCAGCACCTTTTTAACGTTTTCTATATATCTCTTTCTCTCTTTCTCTCCCACTCCCTCTTTACACTTCGTCAGCGATCCTTCTCGCGCATCATCTATCCCTCTCTTTCTCTTTTACTTCCAATCGTAATGAAGAGTAACGCGCGCGCGCATACACCAGCAACCATTATATACATATACACTCTTTTTACGCGAGCACACACATTACACTACCAGCAGAGACAGCAGCACAGACACACGTACAGTCTGTCTTTCTGTTTTCGGCCAATTCTGGGCCGACTCTTCCGGTCCTCGTGCACGCGACAGAAGCAAATACACACGCATATACACACGGATAAACAGTACGCAATAGTACCGAACTCAGAGGACCTCCGATAGCAAATGATCTTTTTTTTTAATTTGTATTTTTCCCTGTCAGAGTTTAACGTCACGTCTTAGAATTTTGATTAACGTTCAGACGATCTCCTTCTGTACTGGAAATACTTACTCGAAGAGTACGATAGTCGTTGAGAATTTGATAGAAATCCGTAATCAGAACTATTGAGACGCGAAACAGACTCGCACAGCGAGCTCGCCTCGCCGCGAACTATTTACTCCTTTAAGAGTTAACTCCGAGTTTCTTGATTGAATGGCGAAAAAAGAAAGAAGTGGAAATAGAGTTAGGAATACGTGAGTTCGTTCTCAGAGATACAGATGGCGCGCGTCGACCTGAAATTTTATTTTATTCAATTTAAATTGTCTGTTGTAATGTGTGATCAATGCGTTTTAAAGAATATAATTAATTTTATAAGCACGAACACATTATATTTTTTATAGTTTATATAATTATTTAATCTTCTTTCAATGTATTTCTATTTTATTCTTCGTCGCGATTGGTTGATTTAAATCGCACGATGAAATACAAGGAAAGTTATTGGATCGTTGGAAATTACACACGTGATTAGTGCATTGTTTCGACCAATAGAAGGTGCGATTTAATAAAACGATAATTATCGATATATTATCGATACGTCATCGATACGTCTTTTATCTTATGATAGTAGAGTTCAAAAAATAAAGATATTGCATCATACTGGCGCTCATGCTGTTTATCCTGTTTATGCACGTGTACGATGTAAGATCTTAACCTAAAATGTATTAATAACTAACAGTTCTATAAATAGTTTGTAGAAGGTAGAACAAAAGTATTTAATTGATATCAAGAATGCGAGAAATAATTCTTCATTAGTGACAATTTAGCTCTAGTTGTTTTCCATTCGTTAAAGAAGATTTAATTAGTAGACATTCTACGTAATCTTTGCGAAATTGCAAATACCAGATGTTCTTGAGTTATTAATCCTATAGTGTCTATATTTAGACGACTTGTAGTGTAAGTAAAATTGGATATTTATATTTGCTAATACTAATTGTTTAATGCATCTGAGATTATTTCCAATATATTTAATATAATCATAATATAAATATCATAATAAAAATAGAATTAATTTAATTTTTAATTTATATTATTAAGAATTAATTGGTATATTTACATGATCATACTTTTAATAATTTTCTTTTAATAATTTTTTAAATTTATAGTCACTTGAGCTGCTGTTAATCTATAAAATAAAATGACTGATATATTTGATAATTCACCAAGAGAGATGCAGTTGATTAATTCTGTGGATGACTCGGATGTCAAAGAAAATTATAAGGATGGCGAAAAAGTAAGACTTAAGAAGCAATTAGGTCTACTAGAAGGTGTTGCCATTATTTTAGGAATCATATTTGGTTCAGGTAAAGTTTTAAATTATTAAAATATTGTCATAAAAATATTAATGAATTAAGAATTATCGTCAATTTATAAATGAAAACTTAACGAATATTTAAATCTTTCGGCAGGTATTTTTGTTTCACCGAAAGGTGTAATACAAGAGGTTGGAAGCGTTGGACTTTCTTTGATAATCTGGGTACTATGTGGATTATTGTCTATGATTGGAGCTTTGTGCTATGCGGAGTTAGGCACAAGTATTCCACGCAGTGGTGGAGATTATGCCTATATTCATGAAGCCTTTGGCGCATTGCCATCATTTTTATATCTATGGGCTGCAAACCTAATTTTTGTGTAAGTCAGTAAAGGCTTTTATAAAAACTATTCATAAATACTTTCTTATTGATTTACAATCATTTTTATTATAGACCTACAACCAATGCTATAATGGCATTAACATTTGCGCAATATGTTCTACAACCTTTTTTTCCAAATTGTTCTACACCAGATAATGGTATAAGATTAATTGCAGCAGCAACTCTATGTGAGCATTATTTCATTTCAAATTTATATTTGAGATATATATATTTTAGTATTAGAGATAATAATTATTTTCTATTAAATTGTAATAGGTTTATTAACATTTGTCAACTGTTATGATGTAAAAGAAACAACAAAGATGCAGAACATATTCATGTTTGCCAAAATTGCTGCTTTAGTGATTATTATTATAGCTGGATTATCTTGGTTGTGTATGGGTAAGTTTAGGGCTTAAAAATTAACATTAAATTTTAATATTTTTACATTTTTCTTTTTAATTGTATTATTTAACAGGACATACAGAAAACTTTGAGAATGCTTTTGAAAATACAAATAAAGATCCTGGAAAAATTGCAGTGGCCTTTTATTCTGGTATATTTTCATACTCTGGATGGAACTATTTAAATTTTATGACTGAAGAATTAAAAAATCCTTATGTGTAAGCTTTCAATACTTTAATTCTATTCAGTACATATTTGTGTGTTCACACACACACACACATATTGTTTATAATAATTATTTATTTCAGAAATTTACCACGTGCAATTTACATTTCACTGCCATTAGTTACATTAATCTATGTATTAGCCAATGTTGCCTATTTATCGGTATTGACGCCGACTGCGATGATTGCTTCGGATGCCATTGCAGTAGTGAGTATAATTTTTTATAAAATATTTTTTATTTACTCGTCATATAGATCTAAAAAATGTATTATTTTTGCAATTAGACGCTTGGAGATCAACTTCTTGGAGTTATGGCATGGAGTATACCTGTTATGGTTGCAATTTCGGCATTTGGAGGATTAAGTGTTCACATTATGACTTCTTCCAGAATGTGTTTTGTTGGTGCCAGAAATGGACACTTTCCGTCTATGCTTAGTCATATTAATGTATCAAGATTTACTCCTACTCCTGCTTTAGTATTCCTGGTTTGTTTTATTTTAGTTTCTTTTTTTATTTATCTTATATAAAGAATATACAGTTATCCCTCATTTACGTGGTTTCTATTTACGCGATATTTTTGTGGAACGAATATAATCGCGTAAATGGAGGAATTTCTGTATATGATACTTATTAAAATCGTAAGTATATTTGATTCTTTTTTTTCAGTGCATATTATCATTAATAATGTTATGTACAAGTGATATATTTGTATTAATAACATACTGTAGCATAGTAGAGTCTTTCTTTATTATGTTATCTGTAGCTGGTGTTCTATGGCTCCGATATAAGAAACCTAATATGACTAGACCAATAAAGGTATATTTAATAAGTATACTTAATAATTATAAAATAAATTTATATATATATATATTTTGTTCAATTCTTACTAAATTATTTATTTCATAGGTACCTTTATGGATTCCTATAACGTTTGTAGCATTATGTGCATTTTTAGTACTAGTACCTTGTTATGAAAGACCTTACGAAGTTGGTATGGGTATTTTAATAACAGTCTCTGGTATTCCTGCCTATTTCATGGGCGTTAGATGGCAAAAGAAACCAACTTGGTTTCAGAAAATCAATGGTATCTATGATGTTTTTAAATTATATATAACGTAAATTATAAAGATTATCATAGATTACAAATTTATTTTCAATTATTTTCAGTTAAAGTCACGCATACCGTACAAAAATTATTTATGTCTGCAAGAGAGGAAGATGAAGAAGTGGAATAAAAAAATGTGTAACTTTAGAGTTATAATCATTGGCTCACTTTCAAATTAATGTACGACTTTATTGAAGGATGCATAAAGGAAAATCAAATTAATGAACAAAAAATGATATGTCTCGAATAAGTAAGTATTGTTGACAGCCGAAAAAAAAATGTATAAAAGAAATGAGTATTTAATTAATTGGCTGAAATGGCTGGTTGTTATCCTCTTTTTGCTTAACTTTTTTAATACCGGAATCTAGTTCTGACATTCCGTATTATGAAAGTTTACGCTATTTTATATAACACATGTTTGTTTTATTGGTAAAGAGGATTAAATCTACTGATATAATAAAAGCAAAAAAAGAACAAAATAGAATTAAATAATAAGGCATTAACGTCGTAGACGTTCGCGTATTTTTGTTATTTTTATCTACGTTTAACTGTGAACGTAATTATACAATTCCTACGAGTATGTTAAGAAAATTCTATTTTGTAAATTCGAAGGTGAAGACAGGCTCAGTGAGTAAAAACAATTTTTTTGTCCCTGTGCCATTTTGTGGAATACAAAATAATTAATAAAAGTGAAATGTTATAAGCTTTTTGTTAATATTGAATAATCGCAATAAACAAAATGTAACTGTACGCTTATCTCATAGTATTGCTGAAACAGATCTGAGTATAATATTTCTTCGTTCTCAATTTTTGTTATCTTAATATGTATACATCAAATAATATCGTTTGTGTTTCGTTCAATATTTCATTCGATTTATTTCGATTGATTATGATCTTTTTAACGCAACACATGAAAAAAAGGCGCAATTAGTCTTGAGACTGAATTTTTTTTCTCTCTTTTCGATAATTATTATATTTTTCTCTAAACGAATATTTAAGAAAAAATGTTTCAATAAAAATGTTTTTTTATAATGACATATATATATATATATATATATGTATAATATTGTAATGTATTACTCTACATTCGTATGTATAAACATTTAGTATTATTAAAATGTTACATTTTTTACTCTTTAAATAAACATGGTATTGCTTTTATGTATACCGTAGGCGTTGAAAACAAAATCTGGATTCTATTAACAATATTTATGATTGTACTTAAATATTTCAAAATAGTAAAATAAAATACGGTCGCTTGTAAAAATCACAGATTCAATAATTACATCGTCAATGTATAAAAGAATGTTTATAAATTATATATATCTATTTAATTATTATATCTAGTATTTAATTTATTTCTTGTTGAACAAAAAAAATAAATAAATTTGACAAAATTTTTATACTATCAAAGATGTGGTTATCTACGCTGTGATAAAAATAGCAAAGTATTTTATACCTTTACCAAAATAATTATCAATCCAAAGTGACTTATGTATGAATTGAATTTGTAAGTAAAATATATATAACGAATTAAATATTTTATTATAAGTTTATTGAAATAATAATCATATGTGTAATATAATACGGTTAACTAATAAAGAGAAATATTTCTTTCCGATCAAATAATCGATAAAATTTGTAATTTAAAAGAAGAAAATGAAGGAACGATCGAAAAGCATAAAATATTTTCTGCAGTTGAAGTTGTTTTAATTTTTTTATTTTAATCACCTCTTTTTTTTTTTTTTTTTTTTAATTTCCTCTAACACGATTTCAAAACCATGTTCCTCGTCAAATGGATACGACGTTCAAAAGTGAATGTGATCTTTCGATTTGTGCAAAAAAAAAAAATGTCTGTTCCATTGTAAGGCCCAATTTAATAATCTAACAATGTATGATGATGATTCTGAGCGTTACGAATATGTCATAGTCTACAATGTGATATAAAATGACTAATGTCTCTCAGATCTCATGTATTATACAGGGTCTTTCATCTAATTAGATCACCTTAAATATATTCCTTATTTCGTATGGTAGAAAAAAATGTCAGAGGGAGAAAATATTCTATAAGAAGGCGCCAATACGGCGATGGGCTCGAATTTTTTTCTCATGGTCATTGTTTTTGAGATTTCAAGATTTTTAAATGAAACTAAAAACTTTAATTGAAACGATTTTATATCTTATATAAAAAAAAAAAATGAATCTAACGAGGTGTAATCATGATTACTTTCAAATAACTTTTATCGAGAGAATTATGAAACGTTTGTAAATAATTTCAATATGTGCGCAATATATTAATAAATAAAAAAAAATGCAAATCCACTTATATTGGCAAAAAATCTTCTCTTGTGCAAGAGAATATATTAAAAATATACTACACATGTAGTACTATTTTCGATAATAAACACTTGAAGGATAACACGTTGCACTAGATTTACTTTTTATTAACCCATTGCCGCAGGCTTTTAATTTGATGATCGTGCTCAGAAACACACTTTTTTTTATTTCGGAGCGATAGAGCATGCGAAAACGCATAAAAAAGCAATTGATATGCTGTCTGGCATGCTGTATCTATCTTTTTTTTTTAATGTATTATTTAATAAGTGACACGTGTATGCGTTAGTACACTTCGTACTAACGCTATACTTTTTTTTATTAATTAAAATTAATAATTTAAATAATTAAAATATGTCCGATCTTTGTTTATATGTAGGCGAAGTGTACTAACGCATACACGTGTTAATTATTGAATAATACATTAAAAAAAAGGTACAGCATGCCAGACAGTATATCAATTGTATTTTTATGCATTTTTGCATGCCCTATCGCTCCGAAGTAAAAAAAAAAATGTATTTCTGAGCACGATCGTCAAATTAAAAGTGTGCGGCAACGGGTTAAAATGTACACGACGGCTATAGCCGTCATTTGCGGCAACGGGTTAAACTATAAAACTTATTGCATTAAATGTAATATTGTGTTCGATAGTAAGAAAGGCATTATGCGTAATTTAGTTAATGTTCTTTCTATCACAAGTTGTTCTTTTTATTTATTTATTTATTTTTGTTTTCATCTCAATTAACTAGACTAATGTTTTCATTCATCTGTTGACTGAGATATGGTCTACTTGTTAAATTCGTGACCAATTATATACTACGAAAAATAAATCGTTGGAAGAGTGATAACAGTGGTTGCATGATTCTACGAAAAAATTGTTTAATAAAGCTTTATTGACAAAAAAAAAATGGAACGATGCTACTTTGTTGCTTGCTATGACGTAAGTTACGAATAAAAATTCAATTGGTGTGATTCTATGACGTATGTACATAATGGGTTAGTAAACTAATCAAGCAACATTGCTGGAATAGGGGTGCATTATTGAATAGGTAGAAGTTTAGTGGAAATAACTATGACGTTATTTACATTTAAGATTTTAATCTCTTACGATTAAATTTCTTAGAATATTTTGCCCACTTCTGATTCCCCCAAAAAGAAATGTATATCTTACCTTATGATTTATTTCTCAGAATATTACTTTCCATTTTCAACAAGAAATATCTTGCTCATAGTAAGACGCAATTGTGGGTTGGGGAGGGAGGGAGGGAGGGAGGGCTGGTTGACTGATAATAATCATCTTTCGACATTTCTCTCGAACTCACGAAATTTGAAAAAGTTTCGAAGAAATAACTTGTTTATATAGTTTTCTTGCCACTTTGATCGTATCTATTTAGAAGACCCAACGGAAACTTTATTTATAGTGTAATAACGGAAGTATTGGTTTATTCTAAATTTTCGTATAACATTATATGTAAATCTGTAAGAAAAGAAACTTCAACTGTACTTCTTTCTGTAAGAAAGAAACTGCAACTTTCTTTATTGGTTACATAATACATCTTTCGATCGATAAACTCTCAATGAACGAATTATTTAAACAAAAAAAAAAGCAATAATTCAATATACAATCATTACTTTATACAAATTAATCAAAGAATATATTGTAAGAAAATTTTCAATGTTACAATACCTTTCGTTACGTATTATAAAAAATGCCTATTATTTACTGTACATCTTTCATTTAAACGTAAATCAATGCACTCAATTTTCTTTCGTTATTTTTATCTGTTCTTTTTTCATTTTGTATTTTTTTTTTTGTAAAACATTAATTTAATTCTATTTACTTAATATTTTTCGTTCGCACACATAAGAAAAAAGAATAGATCTCTTTTTCTTCTTTTTCCTTCATCATTTTTCTTTGTACATAATTAAAAATTTGTTTACTCATTCGTTATTTAAAATTCAATTCGTTATGTATATCATAGACGTTTACTACGCATAACACCCCCCACACTATGCACTATGCAAATCATTTTTGTTAATTAATATTATATAGTAAAGGAGACAGTAATTAATTTAATATCGTAATTTAGTTATTAAAAATTCTCTGTTATGATTTATGTTTATGTAACAGTTGAGTACATGGTATATCAAATTAATTTAAAAACGCAGTCCAATAAATGATATAAAATAATGTAAAGTAATTTAAAAAAGTATTTGAATGTATTTACAATGAAACATTTTATAAATGTATTAAATATGTAAAAATAATTCTGTCAATTTTGAATATTTCCTTTGTGGTTACAATCGTAATTAAATTAATTTCGAAGTAAAAAGTTGTACTATTGCAAAAGATAAAAATTCAAACAAAGTTGCATCCAATCGATCCTAAAAAATCTTTTATTTCAAAATTAATCTGAAAATATTACTTTACTTTTATATTTCTATATATAAGTTTCTATATAATTCAATTTTAAGAAGCAATTAAGGATGCATTAGATTTGTTTACAATTGCATTGAAATTGGATTGATACGAACGTATTTTAAGAATATCGATCTTATCGCAATAAAACGCAACATGTTTATGGCTAGGTGTAAGTTTGTTGATTATTAAAAATAATTATAATAACTATATATTTATATATATACATAGAAAATGATTTTTTTGCACACATTATGTAAAGCTTACGTAAATATTGATAAGCAATTAGATAAAATGTTTACAAGCTGTTGGACTGGACAGTGAAGAGGTATTTTTAAGTGGTTTACTCATTTTCTGATGTCTTTAATCGATTAGTTTTTTACCTTTTATATGTGATCTAAAAACTAAAAAATATTATTCCTCAGAAAAAAATTTAACGACTATTTGAGAATATGAAAAGAAGAATAGCTAGCTACGTATCTCAATTAATAAAATCATATGAAATAGAAAATGTGTATACGGAATTAGATAAAAACAAAAAAAAAAAACTCAATGGTTTCATGCTTGGTGCATTAAAACAAACAGTTCACCATTTGAATTTTGTAAATTTAAATACAAACGTGTGACCCAATGTATTTTGAATTCTCTTCCTTTCATTTCTTTTTTAAAAGAAAACTATCGATGACTTTGAAATGCCGTAAAAGAAAATGATCTCGTATAGAAATTCTTTCAATAATTGCATACATTTTCCCGTTAATGCAATAACGCAACCCTTTTTTTCTTTTTTTCATACGATTGCAAATAAAAAAAATAAAAAAACCCCCTTTTTTTCTATAATCTTATTCAACTTAAACAATGCGCATTTTTCAAATGAATGAATTAATTAATAAGAATTTGATAAGTGCAAAAGATAACGAACGTATCGATGAAATCGTTTTTACAATATCTCATGTAATATGGATGTATTTATCATTTCCTTCGATTATAAAAATTAAGTGGCAATGAACGAAAAAATTTTATACTCTTGGTGTCATCAATGATTCACTTATCATAACGGAAACCCCGATCATATAAAAGAGATTGATATTAACTTGAAGCACCAGTTCGTTGTTAACCTTCCAATAGAAATGATCTCAATAGAAAGTATTATTATCACATTGGCATTTGTTGCCGTCGCGTTCTTCTTATTGAAGCTTTACGCTAAGTTAGTAATTATATTTAAAAAAAAAAAAAAAAATCTTAAAAAGAAAAAGACCCCAAAATTAATTCGGATATTTGGATTTAATTTTCTCTTTTTCTTTTTATTCTTTTTTTTTTTTTTGGGGGGGGGTGGGTGAGAGAGAGGGTAGGAGAATGAGGTGTTATTAATTTGATTTAATTTCTAACAAATATTTCTTATTTGTTTGTTCGCTTTTAGATACAAATTGAATTATTGGAAGAGACGTGGCGTCGAATCGTTGCCGAGCGATTTGATTTTCGGTAATTTTAAAGAAGCCGTATTATTTCGTTCGGCACCAGGATGGCATTTAGGACAGTTGTATAAAAAGGCGCCTCAGGATGCTCCTTATGTCGGTTTTTACATATTCCACAAGCCGTGTTTGCTATTACGCGATCCAGAAATAATGAAACAAATTTTGATAAGGGATTTTGAAAATTTTTCCGACCGTCATTTCGCTGGTTCCAATCAAAAGGACAGTATCGGTATGAAGAATCTATTCGGTTTGAAAAATCCAGCTTGGAAATATCTTAGATCGAAAATAACGCCTACTTTGACACGTGGAAAATTGAAACAAATGTTTCCGCTTATGATGGAAATTGGTGGACCAATGATGGATCATTTGAGGAAACAATCAACGATCAACAATAATAATGTCAAAATTGTTGACGCTCAAGAACTCAGTTACACTTATACCACGGATTTGATTGCTTCTGTTGCACTCGGTACCAAAATGGATTCATTCAACTACCCCAACACCGAATTTTCCGCTTGCGGTAAATTTACTTGAAAATGTTTATAATTATATACAAATTATATATATATATATATATGATTATTTTGTGTCACCGTTCAGTTTTATAATATTCAATCAAATTATTTTCTTTTCTATTCCGTAGTATCGGAATTTTTCCATGGATTCAAAAGAATGGTAGCCCTGGTAACGGTATTCTTCATGCCCGAATTGGTCGAAATTATTGGATCTAATATACTTTTCAATTCTAAATTTGTACGAAAAGTATTTTGGAATGCTATGGAAAATCGCGAGAAAACTGGCGAGAAGAGGGGAGATTTCATCGATTCGTTGATACAATTGAAGAATGGCGAACAAAATCCTAAATACAGTGAGTAATTTCGAACGATCTATTTCTTTTTTTTTTTTTTTCTTTTTTCTTTTCTTATTAATTTTGATTTAAGCGAATTTGAACGAAAAAGAAAGAAAAAAAAAAAAAGAAAAACACAAAAATCAATTGAAATCGATAAAATTATTTTGCAGAATTCGAAGGTGAAAATCTATTGTATCAATCTGGAACATTTTTTTCCGGATTCGAATCTAGTTCAACGTGTATGTCGTTTACACTTATGGAACTTGCCAATAATATGAAATGTCAGGAACGTGCAAGAGAAGATATTAATAAAGCCATGAATAAATATGGATGGACTTATGAAGCCTTCAACGAAATGAAATATCTTGATCAAGCTATTGCCGAAGGTTTGAGATTACATCCGCCAGTTTCTACAATAGATCGATACACTCGTCAAAATTATCAGGTATTTATTTAACTGTTTGCGCGATTAAATTGAAGCGACAAATATCTAACAAAAATATCTTGCGTTAATCGATTAACAATAAGATAACGAAGAAATTTATTTTCGCTAATTTTTTTTTCTATTTTTTCTATTTTTTTCTTTTGCCGCATCACGGTACAATCTTTACTCGGGAAAAATATTGTATCGGGTTAATAATAATAATAATAATAATAATAATAATAATAATAATAATTCAAGTTAAAATAGTACAAAAAATTAGGAACCGATTAATTTTGTTATAACAATAGTTTTCAATTTGTAAAGGAATATTCTACATTTTTGCATTCAATAATTGTTAATTTAATTTGATCCGGATAAATATCTAAATAAAATTATTAACGATGCAATCGTGTTACAGTGATATCTACCTTTTTAATTTGATTTCATTTTCATTATTCTATTTATAATATTTCTTTCCATTTCTTTTTTTTTTTTTCTTTCTTTTTTACTATCTAACAATCATACAAATTTTAATTTTAAACTGCCTAACTCAATCATCGTGCCATATTTTATTAACATTTTCGATGATCTTCGTGACGTGGCATTTGATTTTTTTCTCTCTCTCTCTGTCTCAAAGTATTCGTATTATTTGATAAAATATTTTATTTTATATATATATATCTATGTCCGACAATTTTCATTCCTAATAAGAAGTGTATAGAACCGATTTTAATTAATTACAATAGAGATCGAAAAAATAAATCTAAAGATTAGATAACAGAAAGAAAGGGGATTTTTATTCAGTACATTATATGTAACAGGATAAAAACATATATACAAAAGATAATAATAAAGACATTGATTATCAAAGAGATAATATAGATAAAAATGCATTTACAATGTCCGTTGCAGATACCGGGAACTGATATAATCATTGAAAAGGGTACTCCAATTTATATATCTCTTTACGGACTTCAAGAAGATCCGAAATATTTCGACGAACCGGAAGTTTATAATCCTGACAGATTTGCCGAGGGTAATACTGTACCGGATGCGTATATACCTTTTGGTATAGGTCCCAGAATGTGTGTAGGTAAGTAACAAACAATCATATGATTAATCAATATATGATATGATGATTGATCAATATATGATCAATATATATGATATAATATGTATAATGATCGTTCATATATAATCGCATTTTAAATATCAAACAAATATTTTGCCGTTAAACGTTATTACTTTAATTTACGATTATTATAATTATAAATATTGTGTTTTTTATTTCATTTACAAAATTATTTCATTTATCA